GAACTTGATCTTTCCTTGTCTAACTTTATCTATGAATCATCACTCTGAATATCTATTTTTACTGTTCAGTATTATAACTACTGACTGTAGAAATTTGAATAAAATGTGTCTTGACTCTGGGATATTTACTGTGAGGATAAATATCCCACAAGTAATTAAGTACTGTATACTTTCTTACTTGTCCTGTGTCTCTCTGGCTTTGAAAATGGAGTGCACAGTGCAAGGAGAAAAATAGGAATTCTTTGAATCAGAGAAACTCAAAGTTACACCTGCATAGTCAATAACAAAGTAATGAAGTTGCTGTCCACAGCCACTAGGAAACTCAATGTCTTCAAGCACGTTCCTGAATACTGGTGTTCAGATATCATGAAGGACCTTGGGGTTTGTGTCTGTTTTCTCATTTAACAGGATAGGAAACTAAAAGACAAGTGGTTAATGGGTAGACGGTTAAAGTTAAACACTAAGGGTGTCAAAAGAACTTTTTTAAATGATAAGAAATAAAACGGTCCTTACAAAGTTTCTAAACAGATAATAAAAAGGAAGAGATAGCCTTGAAGGAAGTAGTTATACATTTAAAATACCTGTCTAGTTGTCATAATACTACAGGGTTCATGAATAATTATCACAGTGGAAAATAATGGTTGCATCCACTGGTTCTTAAACTTACTATACTTCATATTTTGTGAATAACATTACTTTCATTTCCCAAAGGGCTAGTACGTTTTCAGCACAGATATTTGTTCAGGAAAAGGTCACACAGACTTTTAAGATTTCAAACACCTGTTGCTTTCAAACATATCACTAATTTCTGAAAGGGCTTGTTCATCCCCAAACCTTAACAGTGTTTCAGATTTCTGTTAAGGCAGCATTCTTTCACCGTGTGGTTTGCAGAAAGTGGATTAACATATTTGAGACAGGAGAATCTCATGCTGAAAAGAATTTAAGTGAATGTTGGAGCCTTATTTTAAGTGTAAAATAGTACACCAGCAGAGAGAAAAGACGGAGTTAATGAGTAAACATGAAAAGACGGAGTTAATGAGTTTACTATTGTGTTGGAGAAAGTCTCTGTTTCACTTTATCAAAACTAGTCTTTTTTATCTACCTTATTACAGAATCACTTTATTACTCAATAAATATTAAGTGGAGCCTAAAATTTTAACTATCAAATAAAACAAGTCAAGTGATTTTAATGGCATGAAAATTGAAACCACAGGAGCTACATTGCCAGCATTCATTGCCACCTTACTATTATTTTCTCAGATTATTGGGCAAATTTGGCTTTTTTGCTTCTTTGACTGCCACGTTACATTTTGCCTCCAAGCCATCCATTTTGCAGATATTGAATTTCTTTTGAGTGCTATTTTTATACAATAAGAATCACTACACCTCTGGATCTTGATAGCATTACTGCGGGAGGAGAAAGCAGCTTTGTGTTAGTAATTACCTAACATTGTCAGAAGCTGACTGCAGGCCTCTTTCTAGTGATAACAGAATAACCGCATAATGTAGCTTTATAGCACATGATTAATAGAAAATAATTACACGTCCTACAAAGGGATGCAATATTTCTTATAAATTGACTAGAATGGTTTCCTGTAGATTAAAGGACTCTTCATTATTTTATCAGTCCTCCTGAAGTACAGTCACTTGCCTGTGTTAACATTTCAGTTGATGTTAAGAGCCGAATAGGGTGAAGGATACCAGATGGCAGACTTGCTTGTACCTGAGATCTTGGGTGCTGTAAAGATGATATGATGCTTCCTAACCTGTCAAGATTTAGTTGGCAGCCTAGTATGCATCCTGTCTTTCTCTCTCGCTCCCTGCCTCTTATTCTTCCCTCCCTCTCTCAACACAATAAGATTTGAGAACAGTTTTTTTTTTTTAATGATCCACTATGACTTTAGAGAACAATGCCATAATTGGTATGTGATGTGGACCATACAGCAACATTGGCATTGTTTTCCACTGTAAGTTATAGATCACTCATAACCACATTTGTTAGGGGGCAAGAAAGAGGAAAGGCTTGGAAGGAAGCCTTGTGTGTTGTTGAATCTTGCCACTGAAGTTTAGAACACCATACTCCAAGAAGCATTTTTATTCCAATTTATAGGCTGCAAATGGTTTAATTGGGATTCATGTTGTTCAGGAGGCTTATCCAGAGGGTGGTAATGATGAAAGAAAAGCTCCTGTATTTGCAGCTTCGTTGATGTGCTCTAATGACTGCAGTGCAGATCCCTAAATTTGTCTCCTAGGTTTTTGCTTCGTTATATTTTATCTTACCTCTTAATTCCACACAGGAGTATTAGATGGAATTTTTTTTACAATTGTAAAGTGATAAATATTGTGGTTTTTATTTTTACCCTTTTCCGATTTAAATATGTGATGTTTTAGAGTCCTTTTATGAGTGTTGTATTTCATACATTTTTCAATAATTTTAAAATTAAGTGAAGCATTTAAGATGATTTTAAAGTAAAACTTTTTTTAAAAAGTAACATTCTGCAGAATGTTACTTTTAAGGAATTTGTTTACAGCTGAATAAACTCCTCCCTGCTGTTTACTACTGTGCTTTCTGTGTAATGACCCTTACTGTCTCCCATAGCACAGAATTCTCTTAAGTGTGAAGTCTGTCATCTGTCCTTGGCTGGTGTGATTTGTTGGAAGTCAGTCTTAAATTTGGATGTGTGTGAGCTTTTTGAGAATGATAATATGCCTTTAGTGGACACTATAGATTATAACCAAAGTAGAATGTTCGTAAAGTCATGTGAACTTTCTGGCTTGTGTTTGGAATATGAACATTGTCTCTCAAACGGAGGGCCTTTCTCTGGAGGCAAGTTTGGGTCAATAGTCTTCCCTCTCCCTGAATGTTTTCTGTGTGTACCACTGGCAGACTGGTTTCTTTACTCTTTCCACAAAATTAATTTGAAAAGTCTGAGACTAGCATTGAGTAAGAGCTTTCACACTTAGACTTACCCTGTTCACAGTCCATTTTCACATCTTACAATGTAGGCCTTTGGTCTGTAGAAGGCAAAGTACATTTGTTTTGTTAAGCATTAGGCTCTAATTATATTCATTGCCTTAACAATTGAAAGGGGAAGTTTTACTAGGTACCTATTAGGATATAATGGTTGCTAAGCAGAGCTTTCATTAAGTTGGTATTTTCTTCTGATAAATATGTCCTATTTAGATTATAGTCATCATCAGTGAGTTCTGGACCCAGAGTATTCTCACTGGCTCATTTTGTCCACTAGTATCCTATGTCCATAGACTTTTAAACTTAAGATCTTAAACTGCCTCATGAGGAGCACTGTGCCCTCATTAGAATAAGTACAGCCTGGCATAGTAGTACGTGCCTATAATCCCAGCACTCCAGAGGCTGAGGCAGGAAGATGGTGAGTTTGAGGCCAGCCTGGGCTACATAGTGAGAACCTGTCTCATAAAACAAAACACAACAAAACAAAAACCAATAAGTGGAGGGTTAGTCTGTTCTCTCCCCTTCTCTCTACTTTTTTCCTCCAGAAAGCCTAGTTCTGATACTGTTTTAAAAAGCACCTATAGATTTTATCCTACAATTGAGCCTCTGTTGATAGGCTGTACATCAATATATACATGCTAATGTCATTACATTTGTACTGAAGAATTGCATAATTTTCCTTTCTGATGGCCAGCAGCATGCTAATCAATACAAATGCTAAGTCTGCACTGGTTTTAACCTTGCCCCCCCCACCCCACACAACTCAGTGTGCATATGCACACTTATCTATGACTCAGATGCTGGAAAATCATGACCTATTGAATTACTTTTGGGATTGATTTTAAAAATTTATCTTGTATGAAAAATTAAATTTGGGTCCTCCAAAGCTTATGCAGAGTATTGCTTTTGGAAGACATTATTCTTGAAACTCGTAATTCATTTTACTTTGTTTGTATCTCACTAAACATAAATAAATTTGAGATAAAAATACATTAGTCAATGTGGCAGACATATGAGTCCAGTTATGGCATGTTCACCATGCCTAGAGCAGTGCTGTGTCTGTCAGTGGGGGATAAAAGAGAGAAGAAGAGGCCCAGGTTGTTTATCTCACATTGCAAAGCAAATGCAGAAGTGCCTCATCAATCACTCTTTTTTTACAGCTAGGTTAATATTTTGCCTTTAAAACTTGAGATACTTTTATTTTCTATTGATCTTCTACTATAAGGGTGAGTCTAACACCACCTTTAAATTCCTTCCACCTAGTCTTTCTGAGGTGGTTTATGATCAATGGAAGATGCAGTAAATGCCTTCAGGATACTATTTTAAAGAAATGCCTTTGTAAATGATTTTGTATTTGTGTTTTGGTATTTTTTTTTGTTTCAGTGTTTTCTTATTCTTTTATCTGTTTAAAATTAGTGTATTAGATTTTCTTAAGAAGGGTTACAACTCTGAATTCTAAATAATTCTAGGTCATATAAGTTTAATTAGGAATTAAGTCATTTGAAGTTTAAAAAAAAGTACTTTTATTTACTAGATAATAAGCTTCTTGAAGGCAAATACACTATATCTTTGTGATCTTGGCTGTAGCCTTAAAGCCTCAAGCACTGCAATTGCACATAAACTGGGTCCCCAGCTGTGTGGAGAGAGGGAGAGAGGAAGTGAGAGAGAGTTGGAGAGGGTAAGGGAGAGGGAGAAGGGAAGGAGAGGGACAAGAGAGGGAAAGGAAGAGGGAGAGGGAAAAGGAGACCCAGATACCCAGCTTCCTGATGCACTTTTATGTTCTTACTGTGAGTGACTGCTTCTCCCGTTTTCACACAGTAATAAACAGGCTTTGTGTTATACTATAATTTAAATCTTTCCTAACAGCATTTTTTAAAGTGTCCAGAAACAAGAAAGATGAAAATGTTTCCTTTTGTAGCTCAAGCTCTTGTAACTTATAAAAAGAAATAACATTTCTAAGAAGTTGCATGCAAACAACATTGTACTTACACTAGTCTAAAGGTTAATATTGCATATTGTTTTCAATTAGGAATACAATAGATATGGCTGGTGGGTAGGAGAAATGAAAGGAGCCATTGGCTTGGTGCCTAAAGCCTACATAATGGAGATGTATGATATTTGAGAGTCCTGGGTAAGTACATTTTAATCCAATATTCTATAATAGCTCATATGTTCTCTTGGTTTCTTCCTTATGAGTCTTTGCCTTGTTAAAAGTCTTTATAGTTTTCTGGTAACACAAAGATGGTGCCCCCAAATCATTTTTTGTTTTGTTTGATCTTTAATTTTTAAAAATAACTTCAAGGATTTTACTTTAGAAATGAATAAATGAATTTAGAGAAAGTTCCTTTGATAATAGCCAGCTGTTTTCCCAAACCTACTCCTTTCTTTATAAACTGCCTCTTTGATGGCCTTTCTGAGGAGCTGAATTGAAAGATGTTGAGTAAACATTCATTTTGTTTGGCTGAATGTGTAAATTTTTTTCTAACAAGGAAAAAAAATCAACATTTCTACCAAAGAAAACAATTAAAATGCAGCTTTCCCTTTCTTCCTGCAGGGAAGGAAGATTCCTCTGCCTACCTGCAAGTGCTTTGGCTCTGGAAACCTCTGAGAGCCCGAGGGACAGCTCAGAGCCCATCTTTGTTTTGTTAACATCCTCATCTTTCACTGTTATTTTATACAGTCATTCATTAAAATATTCCTCTGATGTGAAATTAAATGAGGGGTATTGACTAAATTAGATACAAACAATAATCCTATACCTGTCGCTATTTTGCAAAGACGTAATTATAGTTTTTATTTACCCACTTGATTTGTGTGAAGAATTCATTGCTATTGTACATTGATCATGTAGTCACTGTGACTTCTGGTGTGAGTTGTCATTTCTCTTAATCACTGGATATCAGTTAGAGTCTAACATATAATTTCATAGAATTTTTAATTGAATGTATCATGCAAGTTTTTGGTAAATGCTAAAGAATGTGACATAATAGTAACATGGACTCATGAAATAAGTTTTAAAGATTGGCAAATTTACTTCTTGCTGAATGTAGTTAGGAAAAAGGAAAAAAAAACTAGAATTACAAATGACAGTGTTCCAGCATTGCAGTGTGCAGACCAGAACCCTGTCTGTGCAAAGCACTTCCCAAGTAACACACTTCCTGGTTTGATCATGGGCTTTCCAATGTTTCCTACTATAGTTTTATTTAAATCCAGTGGAATAAAAGGTTTGCAATAAATAAACCCTATACTAACATTAATATAATGCTATAATCAATCTCAGTGTAACCTCAGTGTTAAAAGGGTGTTACCAAGTCCTCTTATCCTTCCTCAGCATTGCTGTGGTACCAATGTCCCACTGTAAAGCAGCAACACTCCAGAGTTGTCTCCCTTGTGCGTCAAAAAAAGAAAGGAAGGATAGGAGAGGACGTAGGAATCAGAGTGGTGACACGTACCAACAGGTGGACTACAGGGCAGTGTTCACCTGATACCCGAATTACACACTGTGCTGTTTGAGCAAGATTTGCAGAATACTGTCTACCTTTTCATGTTTATTTGAAATCAAAGGTATTGTAACTGTCCGAGAGGCACCAGTATAGCCGTAATATGTATCAAAATACATTGGTGACTGGGTAATTATTTGGAATAGACATAATATCCTAATATTGAGTCATTACTCAGCAGGTACTACCTTTGTTGAATTTTTCAGATCTTTAATTTATAAAGGTAAGAGTCTAACCATGCAGATGAGCTGATAATATTTTAAAACCTCTTTATTATTTACATAAAATATAAACAATATTAAACAGTATTTATTTTACCACTAAACGCTATCAATACCCATGATCATTCAATTGCAAATATAAAAAAACCTTAATTTTAGAGATTATGAGTAAACTCAAGTTTATATGTATAGACATAGTCAAAGTTTTCAGAAATTACATTTGTGCTGTTATCCTTGTCCTATTATAGTGCCATTGAAATAGATTGAAACCATCTTGGCAACAGTTAGACAGCTGGAGATGAACTTGATTGGCTTTCAAAGCCTGGGTGGTTGAAAAGCAAAAGCAGCTGTTTGTACTAGCCTTGTTGTGGGTGCAGGTTTTGTGTCTCTGACTTAAGTAGCCAGTAGATGGCAGCAGCTTGTCAGTGCATACAGCACCACTTGAAAACCCCTCCCCCACGCAGGCACAAAGTCCCCCAGAATGTGAGCCGGTGGAGATTTCTGCCTCCTTTTACAGTTAATCCAGGAGAGGGAGTCCTTTGCCAACTGATGACCAAACAATTCCAAGCCAGACAGGCTCTCTGTGAATGGTGACAATACAGAAATACAGTATTACTTCTGTCCAGAGCTCTTCTGGCCTTTGTTCTTCTTGAACTTAAATATAGGTGGGAAATGTGAGAAAGGAAACAAAATACTTAAATTTCCAGTGACAAGAAAAGGATAACTATTACTTTTGATTCATGAGCACTTTATTTTCGTTTGATGATATCATTTATATACTATCAGGGAGAAAGTTTTCTTTACACCCTTGATAATATATCACATACTCTTCAAGATCATAATAATATCATTAATGTGAATTTAAACAACATGGCTTGTTAGAAAATATGCTAATTGTTATGTTCTCATTATGTTTGCTTAGCTTTTATTTGTTTTTCTATGAACAGTTAGAGAGCTAATTTTTTCAAAGGTGATTGTAAGTCATATTTTATATAGCATTTTGCTTGATTATTTGCTCTGTACTGAATTTGTACTCCATTGCCATTAGATCTTACAATAATGTTCCACTCTGCAAATTTTTAAGGTTCAAATAAAGTTTAATTGTTTGCAAACTGTTATGATGCTAATAATTCAACGGCCTGCTGTGTTACTAATGAAATTACTTTGTTATGATTAATTTGGAAAATAGCGTGTTGATTGTAGTAATTAAGCACAACAAGGTGAAGTAAATGACTCTGATGCCATCTGGCCTCAGACTGAATGAAGAAGTGAAACAGGGCCGTCATCTGAATTTATTCAGAGAAGTAAGGGTAGTGCAGATGACTTCCATTGCTACAGGATTTACACTTAACCACAGCTCACTCCATTCTGCTTTTGCCACTTTGCTGCATATGATACTTTCCTTTATGAAAAAGAATGTTGTTTAGTCCAGCATTGTTCTGAATACTTTAAGGTGATGATTTTTTTTACCGTAATTTAATTACAGATAATTACATAAAGTATAAGATTATAGAAAAATAACTTTTCAACCATCTGTTGATACAATCTATGTACATGTAGGGTTTTGATTTGGGTATTTTTTTTTGCTATCAACATATAAACACGTTGAATATAGCCTTTCACAAACAGTACAGCTTCCCTTCAATCATTTCTAAAATGTTTGTGGTCAAGGCTTTCTGATGATTCTTGTGATTTCTATTTTTCCTATAATTAATCTATTGCTATGCAATTCATAGATTCTGGTACCAATTAGACTCACTATTAAATAGAACTGAGTCACATACTACAGATTCAGATTTGCAGTTCAGTCACTAGAAGAAATCAACCTTCGTATAGATGTACTTTAAAAGCTTAAACTTCATCAATGAGATTGAGTGGAGAATTGTAAGAATTTTTTAAATCAAATAAAGTTCTTCTAAATTTCAGATAAGTCAATTGTTTATATTTCAGTTGTTGAGTAGAATGAATAATAGATCACTTTTACATCTCGAGGGCAATAAGTTGCAGAATATTAAAAGGCAGACCATGTAATAAGAAGAAAGTGGATAGAGATTAAAACATAATCAAGCCATAAATAATACAGCTTCACCCTGAGGTTAAAGGGGTATAATTATATATATGTGTATACATATGCATATAAATGTATGTAAGTACACATATAAATGTATATAAATATATTTATATACATTAGATATATTTGTTAAACATGGCCTAGTCTGTCAGTCACATCCTGGGTATTCAAAAATACAGAGAAATGATAACTCATATATTGCTTAAGTATCTTCCTACAAATTTAATCTGTACTCAGATGCGTAACAGTTTGTCCTCTGGATTGGGAACAGGGTGTTTCTAATCATCCTCAGCTGTAGCCCACTCATCACACGCTACTTACTGCCTCACAGTTGAGCTCTTCCGGAATACCTGTTAGGATCTCCGATAGCCTAGCATTTTTTCAATGATGAGATACATACTTCTAAGACGATGTGATTCCGGGAGCACAATGACATTTCACTAATGCTATGTTTGAGGGCCTTTTTCTTGTTTTTATAAGTAGATTCTGCTCTTAGACATGCCATGAGATTTAGGGCTGACACAAAGCATATGGAATGCATCCAGTAAATACATGTTCACTGGTTTAACACCCTACAGTATTCAAGACATGAGATCTAGAAAAAAGGAGTTTGACCTGGGTACTTGGTAGAAAAAAAATGCCATTATTATAAAGTTAGTAATCTGCTTTCTGACTAAAAATGTTCTCTTAGTCAAAAAATCAGTCCCTTTCACTGAATGTTTGGAAACAGGTCCCCATAACACCATCAACAAGTGCATTGGATCTGTTAGAAACAGAATCTCATCAGAATGTGGGTAACTAGGAAATCGAGCTGTGGCTGATAGTCTTAGACACAGTTTCCTTTCCAGTGTTCAGCGTTGTGACCCAAATGAGGGACATATGAGGCATAAGCAGCTTGGGGCAAGAGGTCCAGCTTTACTTTCCAGAACATTCTGAGTCACTGTTGCCCACGTTCCCCTGGGGAAATGACAGATGAGCTTCTGTTCCTGGCTTCTACCTCTAAGGCAAGCATTCTAGCCCTTTGTCTTGGGTGGATCAGAAAGGAATTCCTGAGCAAGCGTGGTCGTACACATCTATAATCCTAGCTAAGGGAGGAGGATCCCAAGTTCCAAGCCAGCCTGGGCTACCTAGTAAGACCCTGTCTCAAAAAAAAAGAGTCTGAAAGGTAGATGTTTCACATTTGTTGCCAAACCAACCACAATAACAAATTTTGTACTTTTTAAAAACCTTGGGCTGGAACCTAGTAGAGGTTCAAGCAAGCATGAGGCCCTGTGTTCAAACCCCAGTACCACCAAAAAAACCCCACTTTACTCTCTAGTGCTTTAAATTGTGTGACTGTTAACTTGAATGTTTTATGTCCCCAAGAGAAAAGGAGCCACCAATGCAGAAGATGGCGTGAGTCGTGCCCCGCTGAGCTTCGGTGTGAGCGCTGGTTGGGGAAAGAGCTGCAAGACACACAGTGTCATGACACCTGTGAACCTGAGTGAAGCTTTGAAGAAGAACTTGCTCCCAGAATCCACCCCAAAGTGCCTTCTTATCACTGGGGCTTTGGAAGGTGCTTCCCCCGGTTTCTCTCTTCTCCATCTTTGTGGTTTTCCTTTTTTATTATCCATTACTCAGAGAGGCAATATAGTGCAGCACTTGTCTGTTTTCTGTTTATTGGCCTCAACTTTGTAATATAAAAATATCACTCCTGTTAGAGTAAAGCAGGTGCTGTATGAAGCTTGAACAGTGGCAATTTACCTCTCGTTTGAGAAAAGTGTCACACAGGTTCTCTCAGAGGAGGAAATTAATGACACCAATGTTTGCTGTTGACAATGGCTGCCTTAGAGGAGGACAGAGTTCCCACAAATAGCCATATGCTGCCTGCCCCTTCACAGCCCTCCCCCCACAGGGTAGGCTTATGGAAAAGGACCCCATGGGCCTGGTATCCTCTCTCAACTCTGCCACTCTCTGGTTACTTCTTCCTGTTTCCAACTGAGCTGGAAGTTTCCTGACAGAAGTGACTTGTGCAAGAAACTTGGATTCTTTAACTCCCAAGTCAAATGTGAGGATAACAGCATAACTAGGAATAATAATAGCTAACATTTACTGACTGTTTACTGCTGGTCATGCTGTGTGCTTTTCATTCGATCTTCATAACAACCCCATGAGGTAAGTTCTGTTATTTATTCCCATTTTCCTGATTGGGATACTGAAGGTAAGTAATTTGCCTCATGGTCCTAAGGTAGTAAGTTACCTAGCTGAGAGCCTTACATCCTGTGTCCCTCCCCTAATTCAGCACCATGGTGCCATGATGAATTCAAGCCAAATGCTTAATTCTATCCTTTGCACATAAGAGGCACTTGACGATGACTTCTTAACCACTGAGGATGACACCAGGCGTGATGATACCAGACTGTGTGGTGTAGTAGTATGGAACACGGGCAACTGGACAATTGAATTCAGCTTATTTCGTGGTTAAAGTGGATCATGGTGACCATATCAAACCCAAAGCAGCCGATGGGCCCTGCAGAGCGAGCTTCCATGCAGGTAGGCTTTTTATCTGTGAACTCCAGCTGAAAGTAGGAAGTCAACCAAGATGGCAGTCGAGAGAGAATACTAGGACAACGGGGATCCTTCTCTAAAAGTCTGTCCCAAGTAAACCGAGGAGCCCAAGAAGCTGGGTAGAGGGCCACAAGGCTAGCTGCTTCTATCTCAAATGCTTGCTTTGAGGATCTGGATTTTAATAGGGTTTTATTAAAATTAGTTTAAAGATTATTACCAAGCTGTTTGGCCCTTAAAATGAATGAGCAAAGTTCACTATAAAATGTATAAATTTGGACCCAAGTGATGGCATTGTCTGACAAACGACTTTTAGTTATTGAGCTATGAATTTGTCTAAGAAGAATCTATTAAACTGGTACTTACATACTGGATATTAAATGAGCACGAGGTCTTCTTCCTTGCACACCCTCCTGGTACCTTGTACGAAGCTCCACAAGTAAAGTCTCCTGTGGGGTTTTTTGAACAAAAGGTTTTGTTCATGAAAGCCATTTTGTGTGCCTGAGTGATTAGAGGCTGGTGGGGTGGAGAGTGAGCAGATCAATAATGGAAGGACCAGTGCCCACTCAGGCTCTGCACTTCAGCCAGAACAGGTAAAATTGAGTCTTCTCATGGTCTAAAATGCACACCAAAGTACTGGCTGTCCTAATGCCCAAGAGAAACAGAGGTACTGACATTCAGTTTCCATGGGCCGTTTCCTTCTGACTAGATCTCTGAAATGTGCCCAGCCTGGTTCCCACAACATCCTGGTTCACAGGACGGATGAATGACTTGGCGTTGTCCCCGTCTCTAACTGCGCACTGAGCAGACCTGCTTAGTGTAGAATAACTGTCCTATGTAGCTGGCTGCCCTGCTTATTCTTCATTCCCAGGTCAAGTGTTTGTGACCTGTAATGTGCCTGTCACTCCCTACCCTCATCTCCTGGATCTACTTTCATTCCTGTCAGGCTTTCTTGAGGAGCTGAGTCACACAAGGCGTGAGATACGACAGTTTTTATCACTCTGCAGTTACCAGTCTCACGTGTGCTCCCGGTTCCTTATGAACCCAGCCAAAGCAGGGTAGAGAACTGTGAGTTTGTCCTGCTACCTGTGCCCCGAATTAAAGAACTGAAATGTGGCCATCAGCCAGCTGTGAGTGGGTACTGTTGTCTGTCTGTTGCTTTACTTCAGTCGGTCAGCACATTTGCTTTATTCTCTATCATCATTTTCTGACTTGCTATTTCTCTTCCTATCTAATTAAATGATTCCATTTTGAATAATTACATTTAAGTGCCAACACTCCACAAAGAGCATTTTGAACCTAGAATTCGACAATCTTTCCCAAGTGCATTCATAGGCTAAATACTATAGAAAGGAAAAAATACAGGGAAGACAAAACAGCCTAGATAGCCTTACCTTGGTGCTGATGTTAGCAGGTTAAGCCACCAGCGGTCCCAAGACAAAAGAGCAGGTAATCTGATCTTGTTAAAACTGAACCTGGGACATTATTTAGGAAAGAAAAGGAATTTTTTTCTCATGTTATATATTTTAAATCTACATGGAGAGAGCTGCCAGGGCTCAAGGTTGGTTCAGATGAGAAAGTTGATTTTTAATAAACATTTCCAGAATGCTTGTAGCTACTGAAATTAAGCAAGGGTTGAAGAACCACGTGTGAATAACAACATTTTACATAGTTGCTGCTAAGTATGGTGAACCAAATTCTGGAGGCTGAGAGTGTCTCTTGCCCGGTTAGGAATGAGGACTCTTCCCTTTAGTCAGCTGAGATTGAGGAGTAAGAGGAGCGGACTTACCCCAAATCTCAGTTTCCTTCTCAAATGTGTTCAGCCCTGGCCTAAGTCCCCAGGCCTGAGTGCCAGCAAAACCTGCTGCTCCTGCATGGTTTCAGTGAGGCTCAAAGGAGGTCAGATGTGGAGGGATGGGAGAAGTCCACTGCAGTGGCAAACAGGACCTTCCTGCATTGGAAGATAGAACTGAAATGAACCAATGGTCAAAATCAAACTTCCTCCTTACATCAGAGGCAAGAAGCTTTGGCTGCAGTACTTCCTAGAGTAATGCCGTCGGTATTTTATAGGGAGAAGTGATACCAATCATCCTAGAGGAGGTTCTCTTATAATCTTAAATGCATTTTTGAATCAAGCCATTGGCTTCCAAGCTATGGTCAATTTCATGAAGATTTCAATAACAGATGTTACCTCTGTCTATAAAGTTTCTAAATAAACTGATTTAAAACCACGAATCCATGCATAATAAGTCATTAGGTATATGCTGTTTGTAGCTGACTGGACTTAGCAGAGCATTTAAAAAAATTTTTAACATACTCTTAGGAAAATTTTCATACTAGTTTCCTTTCCCCAATATCCCTTGGTGAAATTTCCTTCCAGATGGGTATCTGCTACTGTGTGAACACATACCTCATTAAGCGTTTTCTTCAGGTGCATTGTAGGAATACAGACAATTTTATTTGATCGAAGTGGACTTGTAACCCAGCACTAATCTTGGTTTGTAGTTTGTGAAAAT